CGAAGTGATAGTTGATATGCAGTCTCTTTGCCAATACCCTGATTAGCGCCCGTTATTACTACTACCTGTCCATCCAATCGCGTATCACCCTCATACTTATTCCTCAATCCGAGCAAATTTTTTGCAAGGTCTATAATAATGGCCAGGTTCATTCCAACTTTTTCTATAAAAGTAGTCATTATCATACATTTGCTGTACAGTGTAAACTTTACACTCAAGTTTTTAAAAAATTAAACAAGTATATTTTATAAATGTCAAAACGGTTTGTAATTATAAACACTTTTAAGTTGCAATTAATAAATATAAAAACTACTTTGTAAATGAATGTTTTTAAAATAATTTGTATGAAGTATTTTCAATGTAATAAAGCGCAATGAATTTTATACTAAAACTTTCAAAAGTACAAATTGAGTGCAATTCTTGAAGCACTTAAAAACAGCCATTAAATTGCACTAAACTTTGGTGCATTAATATTTATCATAAAGGTTTAGGCATGTAATTTATACTTTTATCTACAATACAATCAAATACAGGAAACAATATTACTTCATTACTATCAATATTCCTTTCAACTGAATCAGAAAATTATGATAAGATGCTAATATCAATACTACAAAAATACAAAACTTTATAATTTGATTTAATATTTTTAATTTAATTACTTGGATATTATTATGCAATAATGAATACGGTAATTGAATGGAGTCAGAAATTAATAATATACAAGATTTAATTAAAAAGTTAGTATATTTTTAGAAAATTCTGATGGATTGGTTTAATGAATGTTGCTAGCTCACAATTTTTAAAAAATCAAATGTGAGTATATTATTTATATAAATTTAATTTCATGCAAGGAGTATATGGCAATGGCTGCATTTTAGTATTAAATAATGATTATCGTAATAATAGCATTAAATAAATCAAAAAATCACATTTTTATTATATATTTTCATACAAGTATTTTGTATTAAATAAATTATAAATGTATTTTTAAAATAATAGTTTTCAAACATAGTTATATATATATATACTATATATTATATAGTTACAGTTATATATAGTTTAATATATAGTTATAATTTTTAGATAATAAAATGATAAAATATGAGATTAAGTCATTTGAAACCAGAAATATCAGATATGTTTGGGAAGTCTGTATTTATCCTCCAATTTAACCAAATCTGCGCTCAATTCCCACAACTTTTCCGCACTTTTATCGTCCGTCGCGTTCGCATACATGTTATCCACGAGTAAACAATTGCTGTGAACACCAAACAAACTATTAATAAATATATATAATGAAAATTATATGAAACACAAACTCATAATAAAATCCGGATTCGTTGTCCAGTGATTCCTCGAGAGCGCAGTAAAGGGTGGTCTGAGTGCCCCTCTCGATAGATATGGCAAACATTTTGGTGAAATTTTTTGCGATAAACTTGCCAACAGGGGACTCAATATGTCGGTACCATTCCGTGTTTATAATTCCGGGATGTAGTGAATAGGCATTGATTGTGGTGTCACCCAAACGTTTAGCCAACTCGCGGGTGAACAAAACGTTAGCCAACTTGCTCTGTGAGTAGGCTGTCCACATTTCGAAAGCACCGTTACGTAGGTTTATATTCTCGAAATTTATTTTTCCGGACGCGTAGACACTCGACGACACGTTTATAATCCGGGCTTTCGGTGCCTTTCGCAGTAATGGCAGTAATTGTAGTGTTAAGAGATAGTGTCCTAAACAATATTCACTTATA